TTGTTCAATAGGATCTATTTTGGTCAAAATCCCTGCAAGCTTTACATTTTCTTCTTTCTCTGGATTGGATGGGGTTGCAGCAGAAATAATTTTGTATTTAATTTGTACTTTAACTTTGCAAATGGCAGGACTGCAGCTTCCAGAAGAGGATAGCACACAGAAGCCGGACTTGTGAGCTTGGCTTACTGGAAAAGAATATGTTAAAGAGACCACAAAGAGATAACTGATCTTCAAATCTTCCGGGAGAAAATCCATCCTATCTAGCCCGAGGGACGCATGCGTGGGAAGGGTTGACCAAACTGTCTCATTCCCCTTCCCAGGACTCTTCCTCTTCAGGAAAGGACCACACATGGCAGAGAAGAGACTGAACTCATGATTTCAGCCTGGGGTATTTTTCCATATTCTATATTTGTTATTTTGAAATTAAAAAATTACAAATCTGTCCTTGGCTACAGGGTACTCTAAATATAATAGCTTTATGTTCATGTTTGAAGGCAAAAAAAAAAAATCTACCTTCACTTAATGTGACTACAGGATCTCTAACAACTAGAGTATAACAGTCTGTCACAAGTGTATTGGATGTTTCAGTTTGCCAGACCTGTCATGATAAATTAATTACAGGATGTTGCAGAAATGGCAAAGCTCCAGCAGCATCTTGCATAGTTTAATATAGACCCATTTCCCCATTTCAATGTATTTGTGGTTAGATAAATCCTCAGAAATTTACAGCTGCTATAGACTAGTTTATTATGTACTCTGCCTGCACACATGATAAGTACAAGAATTTGATGTGCTTAAAGTCCATAGATTTTACTGATATTTCTTTACCACCATGGAAATATTTAGTTGCTAAAAGTAGCATCAGTAGATACTTTCGAACATTAACTTTTGTCTAATAGGCAGGGATGGTTAAACACATTACTGTACTTAACTTTTATTAAAGAATCATAGCTCAGGAAAAATTATGTGGAGTATTTATACAGAATGGCCTTGTGAACAAATTTAAGAAAAAACAAAAACAACAAAAAAAACTACTGATTCTTTGCTGAAAATATCAGAAAAACCAAACTGAAGCTACCAAACTTTTCTCCAGCGAACCTTCTTCCTTTAGTCTCGTGACCACTTTGCGCAAGCTTCAGTTGCTTATTTTTGCTCTAGCAGAAAGTTATGTTCCTTAACTTCTTGCTTTTACCTCCTTTCAGACTCTATTTTTTTTTCTTATCTTCACTAACATCTCCACTCCAAGCAATGTTAAGAAATCATCCTTTGGGAATATCTGAGTTTACCTATATAAATATAAGGAAACCATTCTTAAATTTTCTTCTGTTATATTTTTTCATAGGGCTCAAATGATTTTTATGAAGAAATGAACTATAATGAGTAAAAATCATATTGTTTAGTACTTTTAGAAATAACACTGAAGTATATAGTTGGACCATTTTGACCTAAGCGATGAGGTGGAACATAAACTATATGTGGTGTTTGTGTGTATCTCTCTCTCTCTATATATATACATATAAATACACACACACACATATGCCTTTTTTTTTTGATTGAGGAGAAACTAACAGTGTTGATTCTTAGCAGCACTAGCCTCCCTAGCTTTTTGAGACGAAAATAACCTATCTATAATCGGTGAATTTGAGGTGTTAGAAGAGCAACTTTAGAAAACAGAGTGCTCACAACATATGCTTGATGTAGATTTGAAGGGGATCATTAGAAAAACAGCATTCTTTGTGTTTACAAAACAAATGTTTTTGTTATCCAGTTCCCGCCTTAGCTTAAAGTATTTCCTATTCACCTTAATAATTAGAGCAGAAGGATATGATGAATGAAGTGCCTCATTACCAAGTTTGCTTCCTGGGTCTCCGCAGAGAGTAGCTGTCTGCTTTTGCCTAGTTAGTCCATTGTCAACCCTAAATGATGCTGACATTCAATTCTCCGGCAGATAATTGTGTCCATCCATAGATTGAGTTCTCCAGTCAACACAGCTTTTTGATTGACATGCTTCTTGATGTTTTTATTATCTCATATATGACTGGAATGGCGCCTTTTAGGTTTCTTGAATAAAATGTTACTGTACATGTAATTAGTTTGATTCTATAGAATCTGTTTCTTAAGGAAACATAATTATGGTATGGAGTAAAGGTTTACTAAAATAATTATGGGATAAACAAATGATCAGTTTTTAAAAAAAAAATTCGCTCAGATATATTTTATTTTATTTAGGTCACTGTTGAATGACAAACATTTGAGCTGTTTCTAGACCGAGTGTAGTCATAGGTACATGCCAACTGCTTCCTTAGTTACTCTCGGGAGGGCTGTCATCTCCAAGTATCAGCATTTCCTGGCTTCCCCTCCACAGCAACTGAGATCCAGGACTTCACAGGTCACCCAGTGGAGCCTGACATCTCCATTTGCAGCTAGCAGTGACTGAAGGTGTGCCACGGGAGAAGTTACTTAATCTTCAACACTTGGTTTCCTTAGTTATAGAGCAGGAAAGAGTTTATCTGTCTCATGGATTTGATGTGAAGAGTAAATGAGGTCATGTACATGATAAAGTGAAGATTTGTTGAATATTTTCTGTACAGCCAATTAAATAGAAACAGACAAATATATAGCTTAAAACATTTGGATTGCTTAAAAGTGTTCCCATAATTCACTAAACAGATATGGGCATCAGACAGAAATATTTGAATACATCTAAAGTGTAAGGTCATAAATTTTTGTTATAGTTTCTAGAGTTTCCTCTTAAAAATATTTGTGGTTAAATATATGGCTGAGGTGACAACATGTCACATGAAGCTATAAAACGGTAAGTTATTTCTCAAATATAGTCCTGCTGAGAGCTTCCTAAAAATATCTTTCTTTAATTAAACTCTTCTATAATTTAAACATAATATTAAGGTCAAGTATTCATTTTTATGTGACAGAAACCCTGCACAAGACTTCAGAAGTACCAAGTGTTAGCCATTTAAAAGCATTGATTTCATTTAAAACATGCATTTTAAACATAGTTGTATTTATTGTGTAAAATATTTCATATATTAAATATTTTGTTTTTGAGACAGAGTTTCGCTCTTGTTGTCCAGGCTGGAGTGCAATGGTATGATCTTGGCTCACCAAAACCTCCACCTTCTGGGTTCAAGTGATTCTCCTGCCTCAGCCTCCTGAGTAGCTGGAATTAGAGGCATGCACCACCACTCCTGGCTAATGTTGTATTTTTAGTAGAGATGGGTTTCTCTATGTTGGCCAGGCTGGTCTTGAACTCACGACCTGAGGTGATCCGCCTGTCTTGGCCTCCCAAAGTGCTGGGAATATATGCCTGAGCCACCGCGCCTGGCCTAAACGTTTTAAAAACTTGATTTTTATTTTAGTTTTCCAATTCCTATACATAGTATCTTTTCACAACTGAAGAAACCTTAAATCTTCAAGACAGGATTGAATCAATAATTGGGAAGAATATTTCTAAGAATGTTTTAAAAATATTATTTAGATATAGAAGAAAATAGTGTCAAATTGTTACTTATTTGGATAAAAGAGATGACATGGGATAAAATTCAATACTTTCAGAACAAAGACAAACCCAATTTGTTATAAGGAAATGTTTAATGCTGGACATCATGAAATGGATCCTAGCATCTGATTTTCTGCTTGATTATATTCTGGATCTACTGCTTGGAAGGCACAGTCATGATCTCCCCCCACTCCATCTCATCTCAGATTGCGTGGAAAAGACATTTTATTAATCTAGTCATGAACATAACCCCAGTCTTATTTTGTCAGCAAGACAAAGGAGAAAAGGACTGGGCTTTCAGTAGAGTCAAATTTTCCTGTGTTTGCTTCAACTGCTATTTTTATCTTTAGTAGCTGCAATATAAAAATAACCCTTTATTTTTCATATAAACATCAAGATCTTAGCAAATGCTTAGCTCCCCCTGACATATTTTTCATTCATCTTAATTTATTTCTAAAACTGTTGAAGTTATGTGTGATTGAATCAGAAAATCAACACACATCCCAAAATTATGAGATGAAACGGCAGAGAAACAAATATTTTTATTTTTAAATTATCAAGTGCATTCACAAGACAGATACAAAGAAGCTTGTACAAGAGTGACTCAAGCTGGCTGGGCCCAGCTGTACCTGATGCACAGACTTATGCATTCAGAACAATGAAAACTTAGTGCCATCAGAACAGGCTTCTGGGTTCACAGCTGCAGGCTTCAGCAGTTATCAGTGCCACTCAACACTTTCCGAAATGCCTTTTTTTTTTTTTTTAAAGTTCTACACAGCAGAGACATGTTTACCAATTTTTATGCCTCTTCAACATGTGCAGGGATAAGAGCCAAATATATTTTTACTAGAAGATATTTCACACTGGGTATACATCTGGGCAAAATTTATACCTCAATGACCAACATTGTTTTTCTCACTTCTTATTTTAACGGGATTGATTGTCTAATTTGGAAAATAAGTCTTTCTAATTTTCTATTAGTTTTCAATTTCTTGGTGTTAAATATTTTATCAGCAGACCTTATCACACAGTTGAGAAAGGAGAAAAGTCAAGAAAAGAGCAAAAAATGAATACCGCTATTATATCAAACTTCAAAACATATAGTCTATAATAATGACACTATTATTCTGGAACTTAGAAATACATAATAATGCATTATAATAATGTAAAAACATTAAGACTAAAATAAATATTAAACAATGTAAGTCTACAAAAAAGGTATATGCTTAAATATGAAATGCCTTTTTTTAAAAAAAGTAAAAGACATTTGGAACACTGTTGCCAGTCCAGCCAAAAGTCACTTTTAGTTTAGGTGTATGAAGTTACCCATATGATTTGTTCTTAAGAAACACAAAATTTTAATTTGAAAGTAAATTGTTTTCTTTTAATGCTTTTGTTACTGTGACCACTTTGAATACACCATATTCTAAAGCTCCTCATCTTTTTTTGGAGACAGAGTCTCGCTCTGTCATCCAGGCTGGAGTGCAATGGTGTGATCTTGGCTCACTGCAACCTCTGCCTATCAGGTGCAAGCAATTCTCCTGCCTCAGCCTCCCAAGTAGCTGGGATTACAGGCACCTGCCACAACGCCCGAGTAATTTTTGTATTTTTAGTAGAGATGAGGTTTCGCTATGTTGGTCAGGCTGGTCTTGAACTCCTGACCTCAGGTGATCTGCTCATCCTGGCCTCCCAAAGTGCTGGGATTACAGGCGTGAGGCATCGCACCCAGCCAGCTGCTTATCTTTTAAATACAGTAAATTTCAAAAGCAGATACTTCATATTCTGGCCATAACATCACAAATATAACCACATTACCGATATAATAATATTAAATGCTTACTTAACAGACATCCTAACAATGCAAACACCTTTTATTCACATTTACTGAGTAGCAATTATAGTGTTTTCTTCTTTAGTTTTCCAACACTGGTAATGTAATTATGATGCAACTACTAATAATACAAGTACCGATACTTTGACCAACTAACAATCACAACGGTATATAACAATCAAAGGCCACATTGATTTTTCCACCCACAAGTTGATTCTGATTTTTCTAGAGTCATTCACAAGAACAACAAGTAATGGATCCTTTCTTCCTCGTTAGTGTCTGAAAATTCTGAACTCTGAAGAGAAATTCCATTTGGTTTGTCACTTCACCTCTGTGCATTTGGGTATCTCTTCACTTTTCTTCAATTCTTTACTAGAGAGAAAAATATACAAAATGTACTAAATAAACTTGAATAATGTCTTCTGATTACCACCAAATCTCAGTGTGCTCAGGCAACAGCATAGGTAATAAAAGACACTGTGTAAAACGCAAACACATACAAACACACACAACCAAATAAGACCCAAATACTAATTACCTACTTTCTAGTTTGCCTCTCAAACATATTACTTGTATCATTAGCAATTGTTTAAGGTCTGCTCCTGCACTGACAGGTTAATATAAGCAAAAAAGAAATATAATTCCCAAACACAGACACTAAAAACTGCAAATCAGGAATAACTTCCAGAAATTAAGAGCAGGCAATAAGAGTATATAAAATTCTTCATTCAGTGGGGGAAAAAAATTCTCATGGATGATATTCAGGGTTAGTGATTCAAAAGGATATAGATAATTTTACTAAACAGCATTCTTTCATTTAGTCTACGGCTGTGCCTACTTTTATATAATTAGGTTATTACATTTTTCAAATCAATTAAAAATTGGGTTGTCTCATTTTTGATTGATAGAGATAGTGACAATTAAGCATCTAGATGTGGCTTTGATGTAAAACAAATATACCATTCAGAAAAATCAAGAATCAATATGCGATGAATCAAGAAGTTGCTTCCTTAGAGCATGTGTAGCATTTGCACTACAACTAGTGTGTGATAAACTAGTGGGGCTGAGCCTAACATTTTTTAATGCAATCATTCATATGGCATTGATGAGTTCTGGACTCACACAAAAAGGTTACTATCTTTCTTCTAAAGACAAAGGTTTAACAACTGGTTGTCCTTAGAAAACACACTTCAGTTTCAGAACGATGGCAAGTCTGGTTAAGGTCAATTCCATCGACTACTCCTGAGAAAAGTGACAGCTGGCACATGGTGGCAAGAAAGGGCAGCAGCTAATCATTCCCAAAGGGCTTTCCCTGGGGGGCACAGGAAGGATAGGGAACACCTGTGCTGTAAGCAACTGGCCCAATCTTAAATAAATGGTGGCACTATCTTCATATAAAAAACATTTACACATAGGGGCAAAAAATTCTTTTGTCAGTTGATGTTTCTTGATTTTAAATTTGTTAAATAGAGTGACTCCAGGTAAGCTTTATATATAGAAGCCCCAAAATATGTTCCAGTGACGCTCATGAAAGCAAGTGAAGCTGAGTAGAAATGGTACAGATACAGCATGCCAAGGTATAATATCACTAGGGGCAAAAAGGTGTCCCAGTACATATACAGAAAAAGTACGTAAAACTTTCGCCAAATTAGGATCTGATAAAAATGGAAAAGAAAGTAGTTTCAATGAAGGCTGGGCTAAAGTCAGACAGAGACCACATAAACTTCTGCGAAAGGCAGTGAGGAGGGCAAAAGGCTCTTAGAGGAAGAATAAGGCAAAACAAAGTGAGAGGAAGAGTTCATGGTAGTGGGAGGGCAAAAAAGAAGAAGAAAAACAGAAAAGGGAAGAGGGAGAAGGGGAGAGGAACAGCTGGAAATTAGTGAGATGGATCCTGCACGTGCAGAAGATGTAGGACAAGTGAAATCAATCAGGTGGAGACTGCACTGTGAGAAGTAAACAAAGAAGCGGGAGGACCTTTGGGAGAGGAACCCAAATAGAAATTCAACCAGAAAAATCTAAAGCAGGCAGCAAAGATAACATCTTGGAGGGAAATGATTCAGACTTAGAAGAGGAAGAAACACACTGCATAGAGAATGACAAAGATGGCGCATAAAAGGGAGAAAAGAGACAGAATAAAAGATGGTCAAGTGCACACTTTGGACAACTGGCAGCTCCCTTCTGTTGATGGGGGGAAAATCAAGAGTGGTATACTGGCTTAATGAACGCTAACAGCAGAGGGACCTGAAAGCTACGAGACAGCAGGGATATGCTGAAAGAGGGAGAAAACAGCTAACCAAAAGACAAGAATAAATGCAAAGCCATTCCTTCTCTATCTTTTCATAAAATATGTCTGTAATCTAATAGAGGAAGAAAGTAACAAAGCAAAGCTGTTTTTAAAGGTCTTGCAATGAAAAGAGAAACATTCTTAGCAAGCTTATGAAAACAACTATGAAACTAGGTTAGTGTTTGTGTGTATGTTATATCTGGGGAATAAGATTCATAAAAATATTGGGCCGTGGCCAGGCACGGTGGCTCACGCCTGTAATCCCAGCATTTTGGGAGGCTGAGGCAGGAGAATCACTTGAACCCAGGAGTTGGAGGTTATAGTGAGCCGAGATCACACCACTGCATTCCAGCCTGGGCAACACAGCAAGACTCCCTTTCAAAAAAAAAAACCAAAAACCAAAAACCAAACCAAACCAAACCAAAACAAAAACACGCAACAAAAAAACCTGGCTTACCCCCACAAGACATTTAATCCAATAGATCTTTCCTGAAGGTTTATTTCTGTGGCAAGACACCAGCCTAAATGCAGGGGAGGAAAAATTGAAGTATGTATTAAATAATAGCCCCTGACTAGAAACACTGCCCATATAATCAGAGTTAACAGACAAAGCAATGTGTAAGAGAAACAACCCTGAACTTGGGGCAAGAAGATTAATTCCTAGTTTAGGCACTTTGCAGCTTTAACTTTGAGACCCTGATTTCTTTAAATGTAGGAACAATGGGCTATATTAGAAAATTTCTAAAAATTACACTCAGTTTGAAAGAAATGATCAAGTAGTAAATATACACTAAGTAGATAAATTAGAAAATGCACAAAGTAAAATAGAGGGAAAAAAATCACTATAATCTTACTACTCAGATAATTATTGTCTTTTGGTATATAGTATACAAACTATTTTATAATAATTTTTACTTAAAAATCATAAACCATTTCATATCTATAAAATATTTCCATAATATGAATAACCATATCATATTCTGTCATACAAATATTTCATATTTTAATCAATCCTTTATTTAAAGAATACTGCTCAAAGGAGTAGCCTTTTAACTAAATATCTCCATGTATACTTGAATATTTTCCTATAAGAGATTCCTTGAAGTTGAACTGTCAGGTCAAAGGAGATGAACACTTTGGAAACTTAAAAAAAAAAACCAAACCCCAACATATTACCTAATCATACTCCACAAAGAATGGATCAATTTTATAGTATTACCAGCAATGTAAGAGGAAACCCGTGTCCCATTTTCTCATCAATACTAGGTATGCATCATAAGTTTGAAACTTGCCATTTTGAAAGGGTAAACACCATCTCATTTTATTGTTTTAATTTTCATTAATTTCTTCACTAGATGGTAAACATTTTCCATGTCTATTGCCACTTATAATTTATCCCTTTAAGAATCATTTAAGGTGAAACCCCGTCTCTACTAAAAATACAAAAATTAGCGGGGCATGGTGGCACGTGCCTGTAGTCCCAGCTACTCAGGAGGCTGAGGCAGGAGAATTGCCTGAACCCAGGAGATGGAGGTTGTGGTGAGCCGAGATCACGCCATTGCACTCCAGCCTGGGTAACAAGAACGAAACGCCGTCTCAAAAAAAAAAAAAAAAGAATGTCTTGTGTATATCTTTGCCTATTTTTCTACTGGTGTATTTTTTTTTCCCTATTGAAAAAGCTCCTCTTAGAGCTTTTTATTTGTTAAGAGTATTACTCCTGGCCAGGCTAGGTGGCTCAAGCCTGTAATTCCAGCACTTTGGGAGGCCAAAGCAGGTGGATCGCTTGAGGTCAGGAGTTTGAGACCAGCCTGGGAAACATGCAAAACCCTGTCTCTGCTAAAAATACAAAAATTAGCTGGGAGTGATGATATGCACCTGTAGTCCCAGCTACTTGGAAGGCTGAGGCAGGAGAATCACTTGAACCTGGGAGGTAGAGATTGCAATGAGCTGAGATAGTGCCACTGTACTCTAGCCTGGATGACAGAGCAAGATGTTGTCTCAAAAAAANAAAAAAAAAAAAAAAAAAAAAAAAGAGTATTACTCTTCTATGGGTAAATCTCTTCCATCCCAGGTTATTGTTCATTTAAAATTCTATGACGTTTTTTCTGTTTGACCTGCATAAAGTTTCTGTTATTAAAAAACCTGTTTTATAATGTTTTCCAATTCTGATATCAAGGTTAAAAATCATTCCTTAGCCCATGATTATACAACTATTCATCTATACGCTTCTGTACAATTAGATTTTAGAGATCTAAAACAGAAAAATAAAAATATGAAAAATTTGAATCTAGTTCCTACAAAATGACAAATTCACAAATGTGTACATGAATAGCTTTGTAACATTTCACTTTCAACAGACAAATTTCACTTTTACTCAACAGAGAAAAGGCCTTTTGGGAGGCTTTTTCTGCCTTTCTAATACCCCAACACCTAACACCCAAAACACATTTTCCCTCTGGCATGCCTCAGTGGAAAAAGTGGCCACTCTTGAGCTGTAATCCTCTGGATTTCCTTAGGCCCCCACGGACTACACTCTGCTCCGACACCTCTGATAGCTCCTTCTCAAGGGGCTCTTTCCTCTCAGTTTGTAACTGTCTTGTCATTCCCCTCTTTATAATGATCTTGTCTATATCGTGTGTTTTCTACTAGTTATTGTCTAGCTTTTTGTTTCCTTTAAATTCCAGCTTCTAAAGAGAATAAGATTATTCTTACAGTCTTTTACTGTTTGGGCTGGAGACAATCTGATTTACGCTTCCGGGTTCCTCCATCAAAACTACCTTTTCCAAGGTCACAAATGGCTTCTTGGTTACAGATCCCAAAGGGAACTTGTCAGTCCTTACTTTACTTTCCTCTCTCTGGCGTTTGTCCTTGCTGACCATGCTTTCCTAAGTCTTTTCCTGTTGATAATATAGCACAACTTTCTACTGGTTTTCCTCTTACCTCTATTACAGCGACTTTTTGGCCTGCTTGCTTATTCTTCCTCACCTGTGTATCCATTATGTGCCCTCGGTCCTCATGGCTCTGTTCTTTGCCCATTTCAGAACTACAGGAGGGAAAGATCAGAAACAAGGGACCAATAAGAGAGCTGGGGTAAAAGCTCAGATGAGGCTTTGATCTAGGGGTATGGCAGTGGAAATAAAAAAGGGGGATACATGTGAGGACATAAGAGACAAAAAATCCAGCAGCACTAATGAGTGATTATAAACGGGGGCGAGAGACGGAATTGCTCAAAATAATGTAAATAGACAAATTGTTGGCTAGTTGGACTCCTTCTTAGCCATGATAAAGGGACAATAATAAAATACATGCCAAAATCTTAAACTATTATCTGTGGACTTACAGAATAGAATAAATTTCATTTCTCTCAGAAAAATATTAGATGCTTGGGAAAAATCAGAAAGTTTTATCAACTTAGATGGAAACGCACACATGTAAAAGTACAGGACATTAATTAATTACAAGAAAAGGAATGATGAAGTTTATATATAAAAAAGCTATAGGCTGGGTGTCGTGGCTCACCCCTGAATTCCCAGCACTTTGGGAGGCTGAGGCAGGCAGATCACCTGAGGTCGGGAGTTTGAGACCAGCCTGGCTAACATGGTAAAATGCTGTTTCTACTAAAAATGCAACAAATTAGCCAGGCGTGGTGGCACTCCTGTAATCCCACCTACTTAGGAGGTTGAGGCAGGAGAATTGCTTGAATCCAGGAGGTGAAGGTTGCAGTGAGCTGAGATCACACCACTGCACT